ATATGCATGTTAATGTACCGACTTGACAGTGAACCTAAACTTAATACAAAGTCACACTCTAAAACTGGAAACCGTAAACAACAAGACGTTATATAGTAGTAATATTTTAGAAAAACCAATAACAATGACGTCCAATAAAGCCATATAAAGAAAAACTAAATTTCATGCCTGGTTTAACAAAATCATGAATTATTAACAATAAAACTAAAATAATTTATAAGTAAAATACAAGATTTTACACAATATTAGCACAGTTTCTGTGTAACATTTGAAACAAAACAAACTTTGTATTAACATAAATTAAAAGTAAATAAATTATTAAAAAAAAATATCCTTCAAAATTGCTGCTACAAAGAATAAAACTAAGGTACTCACATCGTTTTGTATGTGTGGTCCTTATCCCAGGAGACGTTATTATCACATACGTGAATTTCAAATGTCCGCTAGTGAAATTGATAGTGAAACGGATAGTAAAGATGAAATTGAATTACCTTCTCTAGAACCAGCAAAAAATTGTATTAATTATGATTTAATAATAATATTATTATTATTTGTTTATTAATTATTGTTTTTTTTTAGTACCTGATAAAGTTTATACCATAAATAGTGGCGATGATGATAAAGAGGTTACTTTGGAGTCCTTGGTGGCCAATGAAGAGGATGCTTGGTGGAATAAAGTACCTTTAAATAATTTAGACTTAAGCTCTAACCGATTAACTCAGCTATCACCAAAAATTGCTAATTTATGCTCTTTAACTACTTTAACGGTAAGTTTTTTCTTATTATTCCAATTCGGAGAGTAAATCTTTCAGGATGCTATCTATACGAAACGATTCCGCTAAATATTTTATGTTGTTTCTCATTTGTTATTTAATATTTTTACATACTTCACAGCTTTACGATAATGGCTTAACTTCTCTACCCAAAGAAATTGGCAAACTTGAAAAACTTTCACGTTTGAATTTAAGTCGTAATAATATTAAAGAATTACCAGCTGAATTTTTCACTTTACCCGATTTACGTTATTTGAATTTATCTTATAATAAATTTTCGGAACTTCATCCCGATATTAGTGATTTTCATATGCTGGAGGTGTTGGTAAGTTAGCATTTTTTTCATAAAATATTTATTTAATTTTAACATTTTGGCTTTAGTACATATTGTATAAAAATTGTTTTTGGATATTTTCATGGTCATACTACTTAATAATTATTTAAATAATATAGAGAGCATAATTGTGCATTTAATAAATATATAATTCGTAAATGTAGCATTGTTCCTGTTCCTGCCAGTTTTTTAGATTTTAAAGTTAATCCTTTACGTATTCAACATTTCAACACAATTTTCAAATTTAAGGTTAACGTATCGAAAAGAACGAACCTTCATTTTGATGCCAAAAGATATGTCTTTCAGATGACAAAGAATTTATACGGTTTACCCTGATCTGGTGAAGAAATTTGAGGTCAAGGATTAGTATATTCTAATCTCTTGGGTTATAATTTTCTTCAAATTTCATTGGTCATCGATGTTCTTGACATTTGTCTTACAAAGCTCTTAAGTGTCTGAAGAAGAGGAGTTCCAAAATGACGTTCACACTTTTAAGCGAGGCACTGTTGTTTAGATATTTATATTTTAATGTCATCTCCCTTCATCGCGCTTATTCTGGCTAGTGCATCAGCTTTGTCTGGCCTGGTACCCTTATCAGTTTGTCCATGACTATCTCGTTGTCTTTTTCAAAGATAACCTGGTTAATACAGATATCGAGAAGATATACATTCAGTTTCTTTGGTGCTATTCAAAGAGATATTAAAAAATTCACTAGATATTCATTTCTGCTGCTGATCAATGGGATATTCATAGCCTTCCCTAATAAGGAAAGCGAAATGCTGAAGAAACTCTTACATGCTGATGATAACTCAGGGGCGTTGAACATCAACACTTTTTCCATGTAGTGAGTACATATCGCTCTCCATAGTTAGCTCTAATTCGTCTTTCATCACGAATGTACACTTTGTAAACGAGAGTAAAATCAGTGGACACTTTAGTGTCCCTTTTGAGAGCTGAAGCGGGGACAGTCGTCACTTTACAGTTCCCAGGTTATCTAGAGAGAGGAGACTTAAAAAGCTAATTTCAGCAAACATTTTCATTGTCATGCATTGATTCCCTTGTACTAGCCTTCTGATTGTATCTGTGGAACGGCGACTTCCTTGTAGGAGAAGCACATGTCGTCTGAATTTTGAGTTATGGGTTTCTGAAATAAAAAATTAAAACATTCATAAAATTTACTAAACTAGGCATGCTGGCACGTGATCGAACATGTATGAGCTTGTGGTGCAATCTGATTGTGTGGTATCAAAATTGGTTTTTTCTGAAATAAAGAATTAAAACATTCATAAAATTTACTAAACTAGACATGCTGGCACAATCATGTGATCGAACATGTATGAGCTTGTGGTACAATCTGATTGTGTGGTATCAAAATTGATTTGATATTTTTATGATTGTGTCAGCATGCTTGTACTGTGAATGGTTTAGTCTTTTGCAAATGTATTTGTATTGACATTATTCGTAACGATATTTCCTGCATACAATTTCTCCAAAAATGAATATTGTGCAAGCATGCTGGTGTCGTCTATGATTCGCATTTGAAAACACAATCAAATGGTTACGCCAATATGTATAACTATAATCTAGTATTATTAACTATAAGTATACTCTCATATTCATTACCTAACCCATTATTTTATAATCTCATATTATAATTATTCTATTTTCAAAAATTATTAAACACACAAAACCTAAACAAAAAAAGGATGTATCAAATAATGAATTAACTGAATTACCTGGTGGTATTGGTTTTTTGGTGCGTCTAACAACGCTTTTACTAGCCTATAATCATATTAAAGAATTGCCCAACGACTTAGTCAATATGCGTTGTAAGTTGTGAAAAAAAAAAAAAATAAATCCAAAAAATAATATATAAACCTAAATTTGAATTAGTAGTCTTTAATAAACTGTTTAAACTTTAAAGCTTTACAAAAATTGGATTTAATGCACAATGATCTGATCGCTTTGCCCGAAGACATGGGTAGTTTACGTAAACTACAGTGTTTGTATGTACAACACAATGATATCAAAGAATTGCCCGACTTTGATGGTTGTGATCTACAAGAGTTACATGTTTCCAATAATTTCATAGAGGTTTGTTTTGAGAAATTTTTATTTAAAAAAGTACTTTAGTTTTTAATTTAATATTTTAGAAAATACCCAAGAATTTATGCTCAAAGTTGCCACATTTGAAAATATTCGATTTACGTGACAATAAAATTACACAATTACCCGATGAAATTGCCCTATTGCAAAGTCTTATACGTTTGGATATTTCGAATAATTCTATAAGTAATTTACCCTATTCACTGTCATCTTTGGCACATCTAGTGAGTCTGCAGGTGGAGGGAAATCCCATTAAGTCAATACGCCGCGATATACTACAGTGTGGTACGGTTCGAATATTGAAAACTTTAAAAGATCGTGCTGGTGGTTTAGAAGCAGCAGCTGCTGCCGCTAATGCTGAAGCTAACAGTATGGGTAGTGATGGTTTAAATAGTCCCAGAAGACCACCTTGCTTGGGTGAAGAAAATTCCGTATTTCCAGATAGGTATAAAGCTACATATAAATAATTCAAATTTGTTATTAACTGATTCATAAAATGATCGCTTTAGGTACAAACTACGCAAGACTCATTGTTTAACTGTAACTATGCAAAATCTAACCGAGGCACCCGATGAACTTTTCGCAACAGCTTGTGAGGAAAATGTTAATATTGTAGACTTTTCTCGTAATCGTTTTACTACTCTGCCAGAAGGGTAAGTGTTTGTTAAGAGATGATTTTGTTTAAAAATTATTTGAAATTTACTTGTTTCTTTACTTTTAGTTTACTGCAGATGAAAAATTGTTGTTCGGAGTTAGTTTTTGCCAATAATGTTATCTCTGCTGTGCCTTCATTTATTTCACAATTTACTCGCCTAAGTTTGGTAAATTTATCCTGCAATAATCTTACTACTCTACCAGAGGAATTTTCCATTTTGAATACATTGCGAGAGCTTAATATATCAAATAATAAGTAAGTAGCAGAATTAATAAAGTTAAAACTATTTAAAAGATAATGTTTTGAGATTTAAGAGATTAATGTTTTAAACTCTATTGGACTATTTATTAAACTTATTAAGAGTTCTAAAATCTTACCAAATATGAACAAATCTTTCTTTGCTTTTTAGATTCGAAATGTTGCCTAATTGTGTTTATGAACTGCAGGGCCTTGAAATTCTATTGGCCTGCGATAATCGCATTAAAGTCATAGATGCCAGCAGCAGTGGTTTAGGAGCCTTAAAACGCCTGGCAACATTAGATTTGCGCAACAATAATATTGAACAAGTACCTCCTATTTTAGGAAATTTGAAAAACATAACGTAAGTAACAGCACAAGCTTTTAATTAATTATATATTTTATAAAAATAATTTGAAATTGTTTGCAGTACTTTGGAAATCATTGGTAATCCTTTTAAATTGCCCCGCCATCAAACTTTACAAAAGGGAACAGATGCCATAATGACTTATTTAAGAGATCGTATACCAGTTTAAAAATTGCACTTCTCACACACACTACAAGCTAAACCTATAAAGCACAAAACAAAGATTTTTTAAAAAAGAAATGTTAAAAATTATAAAAATTAAACAAAAAACCATTTTACAGTTTATTTAAACGCTTTATATTTATATTTTAATATTAATTCAAATTTGCCAAAAAGAAAAACTTAAAGAATTTTTATATATTTTTTTTTATTTAGCAACTAGTCATTTGTTATCGGAGAGTTACTAATTTTTTTCGTTTTTTTTTATAATTTAATGCATTCAAATAATTGTTAAAAAAAATTAAATAGTATTTATCGTATGTAACTGTATTTAAAAAGCACTTTTAAAATAAAAATTTTATATAACTGTTAGTTGGAAACTAAATTATCAAAAATCATGGTTTTTAATTGTGTTCTACCACTTCGGCTTTCAAACGTTTTGCTAAAGTTTTTCTCAATTGCAAAGCTGTATTGGTTTCAGTGTCATCCACTTTATCTAAGCCAGCAATGGGTTTCGATACATTTTCCAATAGTTTTTGTGCCACTTGAGCGGATGTTGGACGAGCATTTGTTGCTGTTGATGTAGCTGCTGTCAATGTTTTGGCTACAGTTTCTTGCAGTTGTTTGGCTCGGGTTTTCTTTTTGATTTCGATTATTTTATCGCGTTGTTGCCGTAAGTATTCCTGACGTGTTAACATCTCGTCGGGATTAATCTGATAAATAAAATTTATATGATAAGAATTCCTCATGTTCAATGTTTGCTTTGAAATTAATTTCTTTACAAACCTTTTGATTTTTTTCAAAAAATAAATTCAATCGTTCAAATTTGTCGGTAACTTCCTGTTCATTATCTTCTTGATCAGGTGTTACAGCAGCCTCTGGAGTTTCTGTTTCTTTTTCCACCGACTTGGCAATAAAATCTTCAACATCTGTCAATTTATCGCTGGTAAAACAAATTAAATAATATTAAAGATTTTGTCATTATTCCTTCGCTATCGGGGTTTGAAGTATATGATTCATACGAATCATTAATAATGAAAAATATTAAAATCTTTAGATCTTTAGATCTATAATTTTAACCTCTAAATTTAACTTTAAATAATTTTGTAAAAATAACAAAACCCACCTCTGTGAATGTACACTATCAGTAGGACTATCAAAACTATCGTGTTCCTGCAGCAAAGCCAATTGATTTTTCTCAATCAAATCTAAGGCCTGTAGCTGTAATTCAACATTACGTTGAGTCATCATGCGTATGAAAATTTTTATATCATTAGCAGCCCAAATCTTTAAAAAAGTTTAAAATAATAAAATTATTATTTAATAAAGAAAAATACCAATTGCAGATTTATCTACCTGTTGGAATAGACCCTGATGAAATTGAAAAGGATTATCCTTGTGCTGTTGCTTACCCTCCATGCAAGCCATTTCAAATTGTTCTGGTGTTATTTGCATTTCCTCCATAAATGTGCCCAACATATAGTCCACCAAATTTTTGTAGTCATCATGTATTTGTTTAATATCCGAATTATTTTCATCCAGTGGTAAATTGGGATCAAATACTGTTTAAAAAAGGTAATAAATATATAGATAGTAAAATTAATAAAAAAAAATAATAACTTACTTAATGATTTCTCTTCTATAAATGTTTGCAATGGTGCATTCCAAACAGGTCCATGTAAAAAACATACCAAGGAATCAAATACCCATGAATCATCGACAGACATTTTTGTTTTTTTTTTATAAAATAGACTTTGTTTGCTTCTAAAAAAAAAAAAAACTTGTGCTGCGTAGTTCCTAAAGGGGTTTCTGAAATTTTCGTTCTTAGGAAAACTTTTTAGTTTTGACCTTTTACAGTTGCCATGCCAACTGCTTTGATTTATATTTGGTAAAAGTGGTGGGTTATTATAGTTGTAACTTGTGAATATATACTTATTAAGATATGAGTATAGGGTCGTAATAAAGTTCTAGCTAATTGCTTAACTTGGTGGCTAAGTATGTATGTGGTCATTATGTTCTGTGAATAAACCCTATATTATTTACTAGTTAAGCCTTTATACCATTTGACTATGTGCCAAAAAAGTGTTATAACTAGCATTACAAAAGTATTAAAAAGTGGCTTCGGTATTTATTTATTACCAGGCGTCGAATTACTGAATTCGCCTTTAAGTAAAATTATTTATAAGACAAGCCAACAAATGTTTAACCCGTGAACCAGATCTTAACTTTTAAATGGAATGAGCTGCTCTGAATCCGAATCTGCCCTAAGAATCTCTCCATCGTTGATCCCATATATTGACTCCAAAATAAAAGATTGTTCCTCTTTCAGATATCTTAACCTTGTTTTTGAATCATCTATAAATCTAAAAAATCAACTTTTCGATTTTTTTCCGGTAATATTAGAAGTCATAAACTATTCACCCCTATTCTGCATTTCGATTACGTTTCTGCATTCAGTTACGATACGAAACGAAATCGTAAGAAAAAGAAGAAGCAACTCAATTTTATTTCAATGCTTTACGATTGTATGTATTTTGCATTGCGATCGCAACTACATTTTGGTTTTATTTTAGTAACGGAGCTTCGAATCGAAATGCAAAATATCAAAATTGTCAAACGGAGAAAATTTTGATTCGGATTGAAATACAGGCTAGGGGTGATTATGTTTCCTTTATAATCAGGGGGCAAATTACCGTATACGTTATCCAGATGATGGCATTCAATATCGAAATGTTTCGAACTTTAACATCGAAAGTGATTTTCAATATCAAGCTTCTTCCCTTTGGACTCTAAAAACGTTTGTTCTATTGGATCATTATCTTAAGGTTAAAATTCTATTCATTATGTAGGTCAGAAACTTGTCGAATCGAAATGCAGAATATCAATGTTGCCAAACAAAGAAAATTTCGATTCTAATTGAATAGCAGAACAATGTGGGATCTTCATTCTGATATGTTCAGGGATGCTAGTCCACAGATTCGTATTTAAAAAAGTTCAGATTCTAAACCATTAGATAACGAAATAAAACATATTATGAGGGTTCAGTTTTGCAAAAAAAAACATATTTGATTATAGACTTGTGGTAACTGATAATATCGAGTTACACAAAAATTATTTCGTCATTGATTTTTAAGAAAGGAAACTTGAAAAAGTTCAGATTCAGATTCTAAACCAATCAACCAAAAACTACGGTCAATTTTGCAAAGAAAAAAAGTTCTCTAATAGAGTTTTTCTGACTGAAGAAAATACCCAGAAAAGTACAAGGCTTAAAAAAATTACTTCATTATTAAGTTTGAACAAACGAGTTTTCCTTATGTTTAAATAAAACACCATTTGATTTTCGTTTAAAAACTATTTAAAACTATTTTTTAATGATTTTTGTTTCTTTTCATTTTTCTTTTTTTTATAATTTGTGTTTTATAATTTAGAGTTGGTTGCTTTTGTTTTAGATTAATTACTCATATAAATGTTTATTTTATTATGAAGACATTAAAATCCTAAATACACAACTTAAAAATCAATAGAAATATAATTTAATATTTTATGATTATTGTTTTGTGTTAATTATTTGAATTTCAATTATTACAATTACTATAAAGCCTTTTATTGAAAGAAAGAAAGAAAAAAAGAAACAACAAATGTTCAACAAATACTTTCGTCGACATGAACAAACTTTAATTTTAAAATATTTTTGTGATTTAAGCTTTTATAGAGGTGATTTTTTGATTTAAGGTAATAAAAAGTAAAAATACATCCAATAATACAAACAGATATGGGTCACAGATTAAGGAATGAAATATTAATAGTTTAAAGTTTTGAAAATATTTAAGTATGTATTTTGTACTTTATTATTGTGAAATAAATTTTAAACGATTCTGAAACCCAATAAATAGATTAATATTTAAAAGAATTTTGCAAGGTTATTATATAACCACAAAATAATCTCAAACAATTACACAAATAATTATTATTGTAAAAAAAATAAAACTAAATTGTGTTTTTTGTTTGTTTAAATGATAATTTAATTCCTTTTCTTTTTAAAGGTTTACAAACTAGTGTTGTTTTTTGTAAGGAAATTATTATTTATAAATTAAAAAAAAATACACTTACGAAATAGTATTTTGTTTTTGTTTAACTCATTTATGAAATACAAATTAAATGTTTATTTGTGTGAATTAAAAATGTAGAAAATATTTGAAATGAAACAAGGAAACCTTTTGCACAAAGTATTTAGTTGGTTTAAGAGATATTATGTTTTAAATATACTATAAGTATGTATGTGTATGTATGTTTATTTATAAACTAAACAAATAAAAACTTTTTCATAATATTTATAATTATAATAACTTATACCAAAAAAAAAACTTGATTTGTTGGGGAAAACATTTTTTGGATTTTCCTTTTATCATTAAAGATATTTTTTTTTTTATTTTGAATATATTTGTATTTATTTATAATTAATTTATTTTCTTAACATGACAAATATGATGATATATATTTAATTATTTTTTTATTTTTATTATTTTGTGGTGATTTTTTTGTTTTAGTTATTATTGGCTGTTTTTAATTTATTTAATTATTTATTTTGTATGTTCAGTAAAAAAATGTTTTTTATTTTATTTTCTTTTTATTTACCTTTAAGGTTAGAGTTTAATTTATGACCTATAATACAACAATTATTTTATTTTAGTTAGAAATTAAAAAAACAAGAAAGTTTGAAATAATTTCAAAAAATGGATTTGTTAAAGGAATTTATTTTTTTATTTATATATCGATATGATAAAAAAAAAATATTTAGAAAAACAAACAAATTTCGAATTGTTTTTGTTTTGTTAGATATTTTTTTTATTAGAATTGATTATTTTTCAAAAGGAATTATCTCCAATTTTTAACAATTCATCAATATTGAATATTTATTGTTAAAGTTAATAAAGTTGTCGGTACAAAAGAGAATGAAACTGTAGTCATTCTCAATTATGTATCTATTAATAGATTTATTTCGATTAAAATTTTAATTGAAATAAATAGACCTTTTACATATTCAGATAAGAATCAATTTCGCAGTTATTCCCCCCCTATTCTGCATTTCGATTACGTTTCCGCATTCAGTTACGCTACGATCGAAAACGGAATCGGAAGAAAAAGAAGAAGCAATTCCATATTATTTCAATACTTTACGATTGTGTGTATTCTGCATTACGATCGTAGCTACGTTTTTGTAAGTTGTTGTTTATGTGACGGAGTGTCGTATCGAAACGCAGAATACCAAAGTTGCTAAACGGAGAAAACTTCGATTCGAATTGAAATGCCGAATAGGGGTGATTATTCCTATCAATTTTGTTGTTATACCTTCTCCAAATTTCGTTAAATTTATTTATTTTAAAATTTATCCAATTAATATTTATTTTTAACTTTAAAATCATAACCATTTTATTTATTAAAAGAAATCCCATTTTTTAGTAAATATTTCGATTCAAACCTAAAGAGAAATTAATACTTTAAAACATGTCTTCTTTTATTAATGCATAATGGGAAATGAATTCTTAAACCTGTGTCGGTAGGAGTCGTTGAATATTTATCTCTATATTTCCTCAATTCTTTGCAAACACATTTCTTTAGTTTCCCTCTATACTATATATATTGCACTACAACTCTATTTCTACTCTCTATTTCCTGGCGGTTACTCTGCGAACTGTATGCGAAAGAAAAAAATGTGTTTCAAAAACTTTTTTTACGAATTGAAATACTGAATAACTCCTTGCTTTCTTTTATTTATCTTATGGCTTTCTTAACATTTCAAATTTTTGAATTTTCAACTGGAGATGACATTGCGAGTGGCCGATCGCCCACTTATGCATAACATATTTCTATTAATTAATTAAGTCGGTTTGCGTTTTAGGTCAATAAAAATGAAGAATAAATCCCCTGTAACATTTGAATCATAAGAAACTAACAGTAGGGGCAAAAGTATCAAACTTGTCACAGAATTCCATTCCAATCGAAACTATAACTATTTCCATATTTTTGCATCTTTAGAAAACGAAAAATTCTTTCAGAATGATACCGTTTTTTTTTTTTGTTTTAATATTATTATTGATTTATTTTTCCATGATAATCATTTACTTTTAGCAATTTTATTCCGGATATTACAACAGTACAGCCGATATAAAATAATAACTAAAACACTATGTCCGATGACGGTAGGATAATGGAGTGCTTTGCAAGTAATCCCCTATTATCAATATAATTGATATTTTTGTTTCCTTGGAATGTAGGAAAAATTGCTATCGTGAACATTCACAATATGTAAATTGTTTAGAAAACAGGATTGAATAAGGAACGAGAATATATCGTGAACGAAATCTTATTAAAAACCATGTGTCTATGACCGATTTTTTGATGTCTAACCAAAAGAATGACAGAATCAATATAGCCTCTTAATAGTGGATATTCAATTTGAATTAAAATTTTCTCTGTTTGGCAACTTTGGTATTCTGCATTTCGATTCGATCCTCCGTCACTAAAATAACAACTTACAAAAACGTAGTTACGATCGTAATGCACAATACACACAATCGTAAAGTATTGAAATAATATAGAATTGCTTCTTCTTTTTCTTACGATTCCGTTTTTTTTTTATCGGAATACGAATTTTCAATCGTAGCGTAACTGAATGCGGAAACGTAATCGAAATGCAGAATAGGGGTAATTAACACGTTCAGTTTTATAAGTGTAATAGTATAAAGCTGTAAAGAATAACTCACCATTATTAGAATCCTTATCCAAGAATCCAACTGCAATGTTTTTTAAAACGTAAAACTTTTAAAAGAAATACTATCCAATTTTGTTTTCATTTTTATCCCATTTTTCAAACAGCAAAAATAGTATTTTTAGTTTTTTGTATAAATACACTACCAATATGTTTTTATTTTTATATTTTTTGAGTAAACTAGAGAGCCAATAAAAAATAACTGTACCTATAGACAAACTTATTTATTTGTCCTAAATTCTGGGCCAATTTTTGGAACTATAAACCCTAGAATGAATCTAATACTGAACGCATACAGCTAAACGGAGTTAAATTTTTGTTTTACATTTCAATTACATTAAGAGATCAATGAGTAAAATAAATTGCTTAAAGAAATCCATTTTTGTCCAAATAAAAATGTAAATTGAAATAATAAATTAATTAAAAAAAAAAGTAATAAAATTACCTGTTTCTTTTTTTTGTGTTTACTCGTTTAAATTTTGAAAAATTCAATTGATTGCTAGGTAAATTGTTTTCCTTGTGTGTTGAAAACTTTCAATATATTTGTTGTTGTGTTCTTGCTTTAAATAAAGTAAAATTTGTTGCATTACTTTTAGATGTTTGTTTTGATAAGTTTTCCCTTTTGTTTTCTTTATTGAGTTGTCATCATTTTATAAGAGATTTTTGTTTGTAATTTTATATGTTTTTTTATTAAATTTAATTTTGTTTTTTTTTTTCTTTATCTTTGTTATACTGAAATTTTACATAACTATAATTGTTGTAATTAATGTTTTATCTTCTTCTTTTTATGATGTTTTTTGTTTTTTTGCATTTTTTTGTTATAAATGTAGCCTGTGGCTAAAAAAAAGTGATTCCTTTTTAACTATATAATATGGTATTTTTTCTTTAAATCAAGTTTTTTTCTTTTCATTATATATAATATATTTTTTTGTTTTGTTTTATATTTAAAAAGTTAAAAATGTTTGTTCTTGGGATTAGTAGTTGTATTTTTATTATTATTATTGTAAATGGATGAAGACGTCATAACAACGGCAGCCGAGTTTGAAGACGATGAGGGTGATAATAATGGTGATGATGACGATGTTGGTGGTGATGACAACAAAGCTGACGACGACATAGACGCCGTTGAAGAAGCTGTTACCGCTACCGCCGCTGTAGACGACGACATGGTTGCGAATGTTTTAATAATTGTTTCAGCTGCAGCGGCCGCTGCTGCTGCTACAGCAGCATTTGTGGCGACCGTTTGCTGATGTTGGAATTGATGGTGATGATGTTGATGCTGCAAATGATGGTGGTGGTGATGGTGATGTGAATGCTGATGGGGCTGATGATGATGTTGGTGTTGTTGTTGGTGAGTAGAATGTTGTAGGTGATATTGTGTTTGATTTGGAGGGTGTTGCTGTTGGTGGTGGTAAAGTTGCTATGCCAAACGTGGTTTCTTTTGATGTGGAGACTCTTCGTCATCTTCATCCTCCAACTCATATTCATCACCCGAATCACTACCATAATCAACAAGCTATAAATTATAACGAAGAATAGAAAATTAAGTTTTTAATTGCTTTATTAAGTCTTTGTTACAAACTTTCTCACCTTCTTTAATATATTTTCCCCAGTTTGTGCTGTGGATGATGGCTCTGCCTCTTTATTTTCATCTACTGTTGCAGTAGTTGTATTAGTATTTGTTTTATTATTCTCATTACTGTTAAGTTTAGCTGCTTCTGCAGCTGCAACCGCTGCTGTATTTGCTGTTACCCCCGAAACACTTGCTGCTACGGCCGCAACGGCAGCAGCTGCTACCGCTGCCACAGCCTCGCTTGATGCCATCGATGATAGAAGCTGCGTAGCTGCTGCAGCAACTGCTGATTCTGTCAAAGCACTTGTCGAAGGACCTGCCGTTGTTTGCGTCGCATTCACATTCGATGTTGATGCTACAACACCTCCACTTAACGCCAACTCTTGCTGTTGCTCGACAGCTGCCAATTGTTGTTGCAATTCAACAATATCACTTTGTTGCTGCTGTTGTTGCGCTTCCAAATGAGCAGCCGTAGAGGTCGAGGCCACACCGGCTGCTGCCGCTGCTGCTGCAGCCGCTACCAAAGTGCTATTCAGATTCAATTGCTGCTGTTGTTGATAATTGTGCAATGGATGCTGTTGCTGTTGATGCTGGTGCAGTGCTAAATTTGCAGCTGCTGCAGCGGCAGCAGCACCCAAATGAGCGGCGGACGTTTGTTCATTACTATTGCAATTACTACTACTGCTACTGGTGGAGGGTGTTTGTAGGCCGCCTGTGGAATCACTTCCACCACCGCCACCTGTGGGTGAAAGACTCGCGGATGACGTTGTTGTTGTGTTTAGATTACTGGAACCAGATGTGTTGCCCAACATACTACTGGTACCGTGTTGTTGCAGCTGCTGTTGTGCATTTTGTGGCGGTGATTTTTGTTGCAATTGAGATGTTTGAGAACCATTCTTTTCGGTAACGGCTGTAAATGAAAATAGGTCAATGTGATACGAAAACATAAGTATCGTAGTATTTATTTTTATTTTTACTAATATACATATATATAACACTTTCATAATATCCTTCTATGGATATCATCCTTTTTAGCATGTAGAACTTAACATAACGCTCAACATTGAATAAAGTTCAAAACAGTGTTGTTAACAGCGTCTTGTGTTATAAAATACGTATTAAAATATTGTTGTAAATATGAAGTTATGGAGAGTATTCAAATATTTTGGAAATTGCAAGTAACAATTTATAAAAACTTATCCAATAATATTATGTTTCATTATAATACGCCCTTAACTTTACAAGTTCCCTATTATTCGAATATAGCTTGTTGTTAAGTTATTTTAATGTTAATTTCGATTCGGGGAACCCACTGGATAATCAATCTCAAACCAAAAAAAAAAAAAAGAACAGAAAACGAATCTAAATTTTCAATTCTTTATCTTTCATTAATTAAATTTTCCATAAGAAAATTCTCCTTGTTATTTCTTTTATTTTATTAAAATTTTTGCTAAAAAATATATAATTTCTTTCAATTACTCACACTTCATGACGCTATTATAAGTTTCAATTTCTTCTAAATCCTCTTCTTCGTTAAACCACATTTCTTCTTCTTCCTCCATTTGCCTTTGATCGCGCCGAAAACGATTACCGCGTATAATTGGAATGCTACTAAAAAAGAAAAATAAAAATAGGTTCAGAATAATGAAATAAAACATATTTTTAGTAATAAGCTTTTAAGCTTTAAAAAATTAGGAACTTATTTATGTTCGAATTTTCAAACATAAATAAAAAACCTTATATTTTAAAATTATTTTAAACAATTTAAAATAAGAAATTGGCTTCAAATAAAACTAAAATTATATTGATTCCTAATGATTTAGAGAATATTTACAAATTTTTCGAATATAAATTCGAATTATCGAAAGTTTTTTTTTAAATCCAATGCTCATAATCAATGGATTATTTTAGCAGCTTTAAAAATAGTTTGAACATCGAATTTTCGCATATTATTTTGAATTTTCAAATATTATATTGCATTGTCATCAGGTGTATACATGAAAGCCAAATTTCATTATATTCGAGCTTCGGCAAAATATTACAGCTAAAACTAACTATACAAATTAAAATAAAAAGCTTGTAATAAAAACTAATTTTATAAGCAGTGATAAAGCAAAAAAGAAATAATAAATATACTTACGTATCTAAACCCATCTTATCACGATCTTTTATTCGCTCTTGATATTGATCGTAACGATTTTTTAAATATTTAAACGTTTGCACATATTCGATTTCATCAAATATTTTGCTAAATGTTTCAACAAAATAAACACACAACGTTTTTATATCTTCCAGTTTAACAAATTCAAATAATTCCAATATAGCTGATTCGAGTAGATTATAACGGCCATTATTGCGTATAAAGGCATCCACAACAGGAGCAAATAGATTACCTTTAACAATGTGTCTATAATAAAGCGAATGTAAATAAAGGGTTAAATATTATTTTACTGCATCTTGTTATACAATTTAAGCAAATATTCACCGATTATAAAACTCATCTTTGAGGGCAACAATTTTTCTTAAAAGTCTTAAAGCGCCTAAAACAAGGAACGTATGAGAACTCTTCATGAGTACTAGAATTCTCTTGAGGAGATCTTTTTGTATTATAAAATTCTTAATATGATAAGTATGATGTTCAACACAAAATGATAAAATATCTAATACAATTCCCAATAATTGTGCTGTTTGATAATCTTCATTTTGTGGACGATCATCGATGGTGTTGAGCAACAAAGGTGCTGTAAAAGAAATAATTATAAGCAATTTGAAAAACATAATAAAAAAAAATAACTAAAACTCACCTATCAAGGTTTGTATACTGTGTTTATAGAAGAAATTTAAGAAATCACCCTTTTCTGTTAACATATTTTCGGGTTCTAACAGTATCTTAATAATGCCCATCAATTGCACAGCAACACCTAATTCTGGTTCGGAATCATTTAACATTTGTTCAATGGCAATATTTAACAGCATACGATCCTAAAATTTGTAAAATATATAAATGAATAAATACTGCTTAGAATAGCATTAAAAAGAAACAACTTACTCCTTCGGTACGATTAACTTGTTGTAGTGTATAATTGCGTACGACTAAAGGCGAAAATTCAACAATGGCCGTTAGTATATCAATTGAGGCCGCCTTCGTTTTCTGATCATTCATCACCAATGTTATTTCCAAAGCTTGCAAAATACCCAGACACGTTAGGGTCTTGTAGAATGAATCTTTACCCTGGGGCTGCAGATTTTGCGCATAATTACAAAACTCCTTTAGAAATAGAACAATATCACGACGCTTGGCATCGCTGGTATTTGGATCGGTTAGTAAGGTAAACATATCAACCAGAAAACGTTCATCCTCTTGGATGAGAGTGACAATTTCGACTTTATTAAAGAATATAAAACTAGATAAAGTATTTAACATATTATCCTCTACGAATACCGATGGCGTGGGCAATATTATATCCTGTATATACTGCACACGAAATGTTTGATGGATTTTCGCTAGTAGATCTTGATTCTTGATCGGAACTGCTTCGCGAAATTTAGCCCATTGTTTTAAATACTGACGATGTTTCTTCGGTTGCGTTACACTGGGATCATACTCCAGACAACCCACCACATCGAAAATCGTATCTTCAGCAAACATTATTTCGAATAGTGCATTTTTATTTAATAGAAATATGTTTTTGAATATTTCGAAGAGATGATGTAAACCCTCGGTATTGTCAAGATCCTCGCATACATGAAAAAGATTAAGTAATTTCTTTATGTAATTTTCGGATTCTAATGCCATCGAGAGTTTTTCTTTGCGCAACGGTGTGGTCAAACAATTCTGTATGACTTCCGATATGTCTTCAAGGCGGGCCAATTCACATGGAGGCAATTCGATTGGTGGTGCTGTATCTGACATATCTTCGAAACGTTCATCTTCGGATTCTTCGACAATGTCTTGTGTGATTTCAACGGATGGATCTTTACCTTGTACCTGAGGAATCAAATTAAAAGTAAAAATTGGTTTAAAATTTTATAGAAATTTTGTAGGGTTTTGAAATTGGATATATAAATAGATGTAAATAGATTGAAGTGAGAATTGAAATTACATTTCAAATTCAAAAATACAAATAAAAAATCATCTTACCTGGCAAATTTTTTCCCATATTTCATCACAACCGGCCTTTTCCTGAAAACTCAAGGCCAAATCAAAATTATCACCCTCAGACCAAACAATTAAGGTATCCTGTTGCTTTTGATAAGCGGTGTCGGGTTGTATTTTACTTTCCAAAAGTAAGCTACCATCTGATTCAGCGCGTACTAACAAAGAGATGCCTACAATAGAATTTAAAAATATTATTTTAAGTAAAATCGTTTGGGCTTTCAAAATTAAATACCCACCTTTAAGTCTGTCTACATAATTCGATGACACATGTCCCGTGCCACGATCATCCCATTGACGTTCTGCATTTAAAGCATACAATTTAACACGTCGGCGGGTATCGGTAGTCATTTTGATAATGTTTATATTTTTACGGTTATTTTACACAATTACTTTTGTAAAATATTCTAATTTCCAAAGAAAAAAATATATAAAACAAAAAACCCCACTTAAGGTTTTATCTTAGGTTTAAGTGTGTGCTTATATGCTGCAGAAAAACACTGGAGTTTATTTTTTAACTTTAGTAGTTTTGGGAATCGGTTTGTTTGTTGTTGTCTAGCGTTCCAATATGTTGTGGCACACGTGTCAAGTAGTTATTGTTGCTAATCTTATGTTTTTATTACACAGCTTAGAATTTAAGCAACAACAATGACAACAACAATTTAGTTTTTGTTGAATACAATAAATAATTGATAGTTCCGCTTTCTTTATATTTTTGTCTCTTATTATTGGAAGAGATTTTACTTGGTTAGTTTGTTTTTCTTTTTTGGGAAGGAGAATTTTAGAACTTTGTTCCTTTCTATTTCAAGTTGTTAATTCTTTTAGTCCAACTAAATAAAGTTCTATTTCAACAAACTAACGTATTTCAATTGAATTTTAAATTCAAAAATTAAACAATTTTGAGATTTACTCATTTATACAAATTATTATAGTAAACATTGTTACTTTTATTATTTAATAATAATGCTGCTCTGTTGACGGGGGATGGGCCTGTCTGAAGTAATATTTAAAGTAAATCTGAAAAATAAGAAACAATAAAAATTAATTAGTATACGTTTTTTTGTAAATAAATTGTTAATTTTAAGATAATAAGTCGTTTGAACTTGAGTGAGAGCTTTTGGTTGTTTGGTTGCTTATTGTGGTAGTACAGGAACCGGAGTTTATTTATTAGACAGTGGTATAAAATTGTCTTATTTCAGGCGGAGATCTTAACGATCTGATAAGCCGACGATAGAATAAGGAAGAGCTTTGATAACGAGACCGAATATAAATTGTTCAGACAGATCTCAGATCTTGACCTTAATAGTTGCTATAGGTCGGCTTCTACTATATGTCACTACTATAGACTAATCTTGAAAAAGTTCAAGGATTGTACCAACCGATTCTGACACATTTGGTTGGATTGTATTAAAAAAGCAACCAGAATACTATTAGGATTAGACAGAAAAATATAAGTACTCTAGTAGATAATTAAATCGCAATCACACAGGATTTTTGTAGTTGCGTGAAGACGAACACGAATTGGAGTTCGAAGTCAGACTGAAATGGTTAGGAAATGGATTCCTCACTAAACTAAGACCTTTTTGTTTCTATTAGTAGAGTGGCCTTATCTCAAATATTTTTCAAGTCAAACTGACACATAAGATATATGTTCCCGTAATCATGAGTTTTGCTATTTTAGACAGAATTAATCCAAAAAATATTGAAATTTCTCGAATCGAAAATGTTTCGAAGCTAATTAATATACTTTTCACAAAATAATCTCCCTTATTATAATGATAAAAAACTGATTAGTTTGCGAAATTCCCAAACAATTTTAAAAAGAAGAACAAGCTGTCTTATCTGTCTTCTTTTGGTGTATGTATTTGACCTAAGGCTATTTTATAACAATTATGAATGAAATTTTTGTGAAAGCTTAAAACTATTAAAAAAAAAAAAAATACAAAAAACGTCATCAAATGCCGCCAACTAAATCACGTCTAAAAAGATAGTATGTGTGCGTATATTTTTAAGGTCTTATATATAAACAAAAATAAAAAAATCGCGCGTTTAAATAAATATACATCTTTTGAACACACTACATGCATACATTTTAGATATTTTTTGCCAATGCGCAGAGAAAAAAAAAACAAAACAAACAAAAATATACTTTGGAATAGAGAAAATAAATCTGAAATAAAAACAAGCAAAATATGTACAAACATACAAATTTGTAGTAAACTTAAAAAAAAAAACATAAATGTTTACAAACAGAAAAAGGTGAAAAACAAATAAAAAAAAGAAAAAGTTTATAAATAAAAAACACTACAAAACTTTAGCAAAATAATGCAGAGTAATGTGTATGATTTAATATATATTAAAAAAACGCATTCACAAAAAATACACATACATTTACAATAATAAATTGCATACACAATTAAAATTATTTGTCCCTGGAAATAAATTTATTTCTTTTTCATGACATTTTAGAGAAAGCGATTTGTTCTCTTAATATTCCATAAATTAATTGAAATAAAAAAACCTTTTTAAAGTAATCAAGTAGTTTTAAGAGGATTAGACAATATAGCAAAGCTTTGAATGAATGTATGGTTTTTTATTTGGAATAAGCTTTAGGAAACCTGGGGTTTAGCCATAGTATTAAAAATTCTGATTTATACAGATTTATCAAACATAAGTTTGAATTTCTATAAAATTTTTCTTTAAATTGAATTGCAACTTTTAAATAAAAGTGATTTATTTACTTTTTTAATATTATTATTTTTTTATTATTTTTGGTAAACTTCTATCAATTTAAATAACAATAAAACTCATTCAAGTTTGATTGATTCTTGTGCAATTTAGTAAAAAATGTGTATACATTTATAGTAACACATTCACAAAATATTGAAAATGCAATTATAGCAAATTATTTGCATAATTTTACAAGTCTATAAATTGCTTGAATTATACATTAAGGTGGTCCAAAGTTCCTGGTGAGTATAAAATTTCCGAATAATAAATAACTGATTCTCATAATGTTTCAGAGCAAATTACTATTATATTGCAATCTAAAAAATTGTATTAAATGTTTATTGCAAAAACTTTTTATACGTAATATGTTCAATAAGCTTTCAGTAATTAAAAAAAGAAATGAATATCTCCTAATATCTCTAAATTAAAAAACACGTTACATCTTTTTTGATGCCTTCCTAATATGAATACATACAGACAGAAATATTGTGCACTTCGTCATTGTTTGTTTATTTTTTACAAAATAAAAATAAAATATTATCAATGATTTAATATCGTTCACTTAACATGAACGAAAAAAAAAAACGTAAATATAAACAGAGAAGAATAAAATGTTCAAAAATAAAAATCAAGTTTAACCGGCGTTCAGAGGTATGAAAAAAATGTACGGAAAGATGTAATAAAAATAATAAACAATTTAATATTGACTAAATATTGTATATTTTTATAATTAAGTCAATATTGTTCATTCACACTCAGTTTATGGCAACAAGCTTGGAAAGTATTAATTCCATAATTAGTTTTTTTGAAATTGAATTATTATTATAAGAATTATAATTATTAAAACGCATTCGCTTAAATTCCTATTGAATTTGAAATTTCCTTTGAATGATAAAATGATCTCTATCTATCTCCCTATATATATCTATCTATCTATCTATCTATCTATCTATCTATCTATCTATCTATCTATCTATCTATCTATCTATCTATCTATCTATCTATCTATCTATCTATCTATCTATCTATCTATCTATCTATCTATCTATCTATCTATCTATCTATCTATCATCTATCTATCTATCTATCTATCTATCTATCTATCTATCTCTATCTATCTATCTATCTATCTATCTATCTATCTATCTATCTATCTATCTATCTATCTATCTATCTATCTATCTATCTATCTATCTATCTATCTATCAATCTATCTATCTATCTATCAATCTATCTATCTATCTATCTATCTATCTATCTATCTCTATCTTCGTTCGAGGGCGATAAATATGTGAATTTCTCGCCTATTAAAGCGACACGGCCACATATCAAATATGTTTCACTCAAACGGTAAGTTTTTGTTGTTGTGTTAGTGAAAAAACTCACATGTATACTATATGCGGTGTGAGTTTTTTTACTAACACAATCAAAAAACTTGCCGTTTGAGTCAAACAATTTGATGTTTCGCCAAGGCGCTTAACAGTTGATGGGATTTCAAGTGATTTTTTGAAAACCGAAAATAAAGATTCCTTGACCCAACAAAGGAACAATGAAATTTTCTGTGAGAAACTTAATGATAAATCATTCATAAGAACGAAAGATTAAATCATACAGACATATTTATTTCAGCGGTCTTATGCCAAAAAGAGCAGCCGTTACCTAAATTTGAACACTGTGCTAAAAAAAAAACAAACCTATAAACAAACAAATTTCAGTTCCATCATTCAGACATTCATTTTCTGACGTAAAAATTGTCTGACATGCCGCAAGTTTTTGTTTGTGCTTTTTTTTTTGTAGAATGAGTGTATACATAAATATACACATACATACATAAGTTACTGGTAGCACTTTTTAACCACATACCACTAGACAACTATATACTACTAGAATACTACGTTTATTTCAATTTATATGGAATATTTACTATAACAGTTAAACAGTATGAGAAAAAAACGTGATTTTTATTTTTAAAGCAAATAAATAATGAATGAAGTACAATATATAGTATTTTTGGCAAAATAATATTATAAAGGATTATTAATACGTAAATTTGTGTATAAAAATGAACGTGTGTATATCAATAAACTTTATCAGTTAGAATATAAAATTAAAGTGGTAGCAAGCAAATGTTAAACTATGTTTATAGTATTTATTACTTTTAAAGATAAGATTTTATAGAAAATATTTATAAAACATATACATATTTCAATGTCATGTACTAAACAGCAAGAAAAAAATCTTTGCAAAATTATTTTACGTTCAAACATTCTTATCAATATAAATGAGCACAAAACTGCCGCGATACAACAATAATAATGATAATACATATTCACAGTACTATAGTAGATTTTTGTATTTAGTAGTCAACCATCTCACTAATAATTACTCATCATTGTTATTGTTTATTTTATAAACAGTGACTGACTGGCGAACTGATTCGTCTCTTTGTTAGTATGTATTTCAAAAATTTTCTCGCCTACTTCGTTTTAATTTATTCATTCGTTCGTATACATTTAATACGTAGTGGAATCTATAGATATAGAGTATGTATTAGTCATGTTGGAAAATTTGCTTTTCATTTCAATTTATACGTTAAATTTTTGAAAATTCATTCATAGAATAATGTGTGCATGGAAACAATATGCATTTTTATTTGTAGTAGAAATATTTATAAAAACAAACTTATATCTAATTTTTGGTTATATTTTTAGCATATTTCTAAATTATTATAATATCATTTGCAAAAATGCATACATATTTTTATACAGCATTCTTTAACAAATAAACAAAATTTGTTATTGTTTGGATTAAAATTGAAATAATTTCCAAAACAGAAAATAAGTTTGTAAAAGAAGAAAAATAAATTATCTAAAGAATGACATCTACAGCATAGAAAAAACTATCTATAGGATACCAAGAGGCATTAGTATAGGAGATGGATGCAATATAGGATTGATTTCAACAGGTTTTAATATAATACGGCCTTGCAACAATAAAATATCACCTAAAAAACATCTATAGACAAATGGATGGATATTGTAAAATTGGCTAAAAAAGTTTTTTGAATTGATTGTGTATAAGACAAATATTTCAATGCATCCACAGAAGTATTACACTGTCTCGACTATAGAAGTGTAGTGTATAATTTATATGTAGCTCCAACACACATCAGAGCAATTCAAAATTATAAACAATCAACAGAAAGGTTAATACATTAAACGTTAAAATCATTTATCTTCACCCCTTTCATTTGTGTTAAACATTTTTTAAACACCCTATAAGAAATG